AAAAAAAAAAAAAAAAAAAAAAAGGTAAGGTTTATGGTGACAAAAATCAAAGATGGTAAGTAAAAAGAGAAAGAAAATTTAAGTTGGAAATTATCTAGGTATTGTAGATAGAATAAAAAATATCTGTACCAATTATTCTAAAGGAAAGGATCATTTATAGTGACTTAGAGATATCTTTTTAAGTCTAACATGACTTGATTTTCCCCTGCAATTATTTTAGATTTTATCTACTGTATCTTCAGTTGCCTATTCTAGAACTAATTTACGAGGCAATAAATATTTAGTATGAATTCACTAAACCCTGGGTCCAAAGAACAGGTTTTAAATTTGTACATAAAATTCTGAATAGTAGTCACTTAAGAAACATTTAATTGACTTTTAAATGAGTCGAGTTATTAGCAGTTATTGGCAAAAATGTCCATATTCATTCTGTTCCAGAGAATCAAAACTCATTTGTCTCTTTGCATCGATCAAGAAAGTAGACATCTCATTCATATTAAAACAGAAATGAAACTATACTGATGATGTTTATATAAATCTTGATAAATGGAGTAACACTTATCAACTACTGTTTCTCATTATCATTTAGGCAATTAAAATTATCAAAAGCAGTCTATTTTTTTTCAAAAGTATGTTAAGGAAGGCAAGCAGGGAGGGTGGAAGGGAAAGAAAAGAAAAAAAGGTAGGCAGAAGAATACACTTTCCCCAAATCAACAAACAGAAGCACAACAGATGATATACACCTCTCTGATATCAGTTCAGTTCAGAAATGTATTATCAGTTAAAATATTAGGCCAGCATACAATAGTAAATCAGCAAAGAAGGTTATTTCCCTTTGTAATTGGGAAGTATTCATACACTGATATACAGAGAAAAAACAAACCGACGGATTACTGTCCTGACTCCCTGAGCCATCTGTGCTAACAAATATCAGACCAACCCCATGTCAATATTTAGATTATCAGAAACTTCAAAATCTTCCTGAATAATCAAACCCAGTAAAAAGGAAAGTCTCAATTTTAACATCTTTGCTTTAAATTTTATTCTTTTTTTTTTTTTTTTTTTTGAGTTGGAGTCTCACCAGACTGTAGTGCAATGGCCGCTCCCGGCCACCGCAGGCTCGACCTGCTGGGCTCCGGCGATCCTTCCACCTCAGCCTTCCAAGTAGCTGGAACTACAGGCGCGCGCTACCACGCCCGGCTAACTTTTTGATTTATTGTAGAGATGAAGTCTCACCAAGTTGCCCAGGTGTGTCTCGAACCCGCAGGCTCAGGCAATCCACTCCACCTCGACCTCCCAAAGTGCTGGGATTACAGGCTGAGCCACCGAGCCCAGCCTAAATTTTATTCTATTAACTTCAAAAAGATGAAATACCAATCTGATGACTTCTCAAGTTCAGTCACACAATAGTACAATGTGATTGACTCTTCATGTAGCAGTCATGTAGCAATCAAGAAGATGGTTACTAAACTATGATCCAGACATAATCCAGAAAACATACTTGGACTGGGTTCTGTTGAGGATGCATTCCTTCCAGACTCTATGGACCATATGATTGTGGAGTTTTGGAGGAATCTTCCCCGATCTCTTTGGACTATGCATAGTTATCATCCCCCCATCTTGGGAACCTAGGTGACTGGCAGCACTCTGCATACCTCCACTCTCACCTGGAAAAGAAAGACAATTTGGACAGTTAAGAATTTTCTGGAAAGGTTTATTATTTATTTTGAGTTGGAGTCTCACTCTGTCGCCCAGACTGGAGTGCAGTGGCCGCTCCCGGCCACTGCAGCCTTGACCTGCTGGGCTCCAGCAATCCTTCCGCCTCAGCCTTCCAAGTAGCTGGAACTACAGGCACGTGCTACCACACCCGGCCCATTTTGGCCGCTCCCAGCCACCACAGCCTCGACCTGCTGGACTCTGGCAATCCTTCCGCCTCAGCCTTCCAAGTAGCTGGAAGTACAGGCACGCGCTACCACACCCGGCTAATTTTTTGATTTATTGTAGAGATGAGATCTCACCAAGTTGCCCAGGCAGGTCTCGAACCCGCAGGCTCAGGCAATCCACTCACCTCAGCCTCCCAGGGCGCGGGATTACAGGCTGAGCCACCGAGCCCAGCATAAATAAGTATTTTAATTGCTGCAACACATTCATATAGCTTTGCCCTACACCCTGGCAATAACATTATCTGTAGCTATGAGTAAAATTTGTGTCAGGAAGGTGTTTCTTTTTCTTTGCTTTTATTTTTTTTTCCCTGGCAATTTGTATGAGTCTGTCTCCCTAAAGCAGTGACACATCTATAAGAGCACACTTATACAGAGGCATTCCTACTCCACAACTTATAAGGAAGGGTTCATACATCATAATATTAAAAATGCAAATATGCATTGATTGTCTTAAAATTTTAAATCCCAACACAATAAATGACTGAAAGGCAAAACAAAATAAAAAGGTGCTTTATGCTCATTTAACTAAATGGCTGCATAACAACAGCACACAGTGCCCTGGGTAAGAGAAGGAACTGAGTGGCATAAAGCTTTGTTTTTTGAGTCCCACTCTGTCACAGAGGCAGGAGTGCAGTGGCACAATCATAGCCACTGCAGTCTCGACCTCCTGGGCTCAAATGATCCTTCCTCCTCAGCCTTCCAAGTAGCTGGAACTATAGGCACATGCCACCACGCATGGCTAATTTTTTGATTTAGTGTAAAGATGAGGTCTCATCAAGTTGCCCAGGCTGGTCTCAAACCCTTGAGCTTAGGCAATTCTCTGGCCTCTGCCTCTCAAAGTGCTGGGATTACAGGTGTGAGTCACCATACCCAACCGTTTTTTTCTTAAATTTTCAAACAAAGTTTATTAAGAAAGTAAATTAGAGAAAAACAGAGACGGGGGGGAGGGGCTTTTAACAAGGTCAAATTTCAAATATTGAGTGTGGAACTGTGTGTCCTTTATCTGACACTAGTTATGAAATCTTAGTACTAAAAGACTGAAAGAGGTTGTCTCTACATTTTATGTCAGGATTAAAAATTCACTGGCTTATCTCTAATAATTCCACTTAGTTTTCCAATTAAAGTTGGTATGCAATCCATTTCTTTTAACTCTACCCATATGACTGCTGATGACACTGGTTGTTATTTATATGAGTATTTTACTACTTCTATCTCATACAAGACAAATACTAAAGTCAACTTCCAATATTAAATTCTGATTCAATTATTTTCATCTATCTGATTTAATAACTATATTGTAGGTTTTCTTCTCAGCATCATTCTGCAAAACATCTTGACTAAAACAGTTAATGTAAACACTCTGGAAAATCTCCACTCTTGTCTGAAAAAGAAACAGGTAACCTTATAACACAAACTAAATATTCTTAGTATTAGTGCAACAGTGCAACACAATCATCATACAGGCTGAAATGGTCAGGCTTACCTCTATTAAAACAACAAGGCCAAATGTTTACACTCTAAGGAAGTGAAGCTTTTTTGTTCCCCAGAAAAGTATTGTTATCTTACAAACGACATAAATAAAGGAGATGAGAAATGTGGCCTTTCATTGCTACCCTTTATTTGAAAAGTTCCCTGACATGGTTCATAATGCAAAAGAATCCCATCTTAATTTTACAATAGGTTTTCAAATGCCTATTATGAAACTAGGCAAACTGAAGAAACAGATAGAAGTAGATAACACAGACTACTCTCTTACAACTTAGCTAAATAAATTATATGTCCATGGTATCATAAGGAAATAATTATGACCAGAAAAGGAAAGGGTAAGGGAAAACAAGTCACAGAGACTTTTCTGATTAAAGCTGGGTTGAGGCTTTTCAATAGCACTTAATGACTGAGCTTAAAAAGTGAGTGGTATCTTAGATTAAACAAAGCTTGTTACTCCAGGCTGTTAAGTGCATGTTGAATGTTGTTACCTCCAATTACTTTCATATATCAAACCAAGAGGCAAGTGGATGTACCTATCCAGAAAAGGCATAAGTGATGCCACTAAAACTATTTGGCTTTCCTAGGCCCCTGATAATCTAAAAGAATGTTGGTCATTTTTAGGGGGCAAAGCAGCCCATTTTGTTCTATATCTAGAAAAGCATGGCAAAGTTCAATGTGAGTCAACTGCAGAATATCAAGGATGACCAGGATTCTCTCTGATGCAGCAGAGTTCTAAGCTTTCAATATCCTATGATATAAAAATGTGGACAATTAATTTTACTACAAAGATACTACTGGCTTTTATTTAGTTTTATTTGTTCATTTGTTTTAGGGAATGAGGCAGCATCATGGATTTATTTATCCAAGGTCTACTACATGCCATACAGAGTTAAGGAAGGAACTTGAAGATCTACAGTTAAGAAGTCCACACTGAAACTCATCATAAACAAAATCTCTTTTTGATTTATGAAATTTAGAGTTCTGAACTGATCAGAGTTCAAAGCATCATGTACATAACAGGCTTTCAATATTTTACTGAATACAAATTTCACTAAGTAACCAGCAAACCATAAACAAATAAAAATGATAACTTACTAGTGCAGTCAAATTGTTAAAAACCCAAAACATATGAAATCATAACTTTTCAAAATACTGATACTTTATATTAATCTATCTTCTCTATGATGATCACTAGAAAAGACTACAAAATCATTTTTTCTTTTTCAAAGTGGTTTTAATAAAAATTGGTTGATCAGCCGGGCTTGGTGGCTCAGCCTGTAATCCCGCACCTTTGGGAGGCTGAGGTGAGTGGATTGCCTGAGCCCACGGGTTCGAGACCCACCTGGGCAGGCGAGACCTCATCTCTACAATAAATCAAAAATTAGCCGGGCGTGGTAGCGCACACCTGTAGTTCCAGCTACTTGGAAGGCTGAGGCAGAAGAATCGCTGGAGCCCAGCAGGTCGAGGCTGCGGTGGCCGGAAGTGGCCACTGCATTCCAGTCTGGGCGACAGAGTGAGACTCCAACTCAAAAAAAAAAATTGGTTGATGGCAAATCCTTTCACAAGGCAACATCTAAATTCTCTACTCTACCATATTAAAAGTTGAATGTACATTCTCTTCACCATCTCAGCAACTATATGGTTCTTAAAAAACAGACTACATATTGTCTGTTTCTAAGTCTCCCACACAATATTTAAAGTTATCTCGTTCAGATAACTTAATAAAGTGTGCTAAAACTAGAATTTGGAGAAGTGCTTTACATTGTTTTAACTACTAGTTGTATATTGTTTTACTGTTCACAAATTTCTTTCAAATATAATATGTACATAATATGCACAACAACCCTGGAAAGTATATATTTAACAGAAAAGGAAACTGAGGTTCAGAAAAAGTATGAGAAATAAGGTCATTTGCTTTATATAAAAGCTATAGCCAGATTTTAACACAAGGTATATTCAATAACAGTCTAAGCTTTGCCCAATATGCTCTTTAACCATGAACATTTACTGAATGCCCAAAATGTGCCAAGCACCATGCCAGAAACATCACCACATATGTGTCATGCTTAATAGTATGCAAGTATGCATCATGCTTAATATGTGCCAAGTACCATGCTAGAAACATTATCATGTAAGTATGTATCATGCTTAATAGTTTGTTTCCAAAGTTTAGCAGCCAAGACTTATTTACTCTGATGTTTCTGCCAGCCTGGTCCACATTAAATGCTTATATATTATCTCATTTCAGCTCACATATGATGAGTATCTATTCCTTAGTGACCAGTTTCCAATTAAAATGAGGTCAACTACAACAGCAAAAAAGTTAATAAAAGAAATATACTACACAACAAAAAAGGCAAAAATGTTTCTAATGTAAATGATTTCTGAATTTTTCCCTGAGGAAAGACTATCCAAACTGGCAAAAATTTCCTGTGTAATTAACACTTCTTATTAGCGCAGACAGATTACTGGCAGGACAAGCTATTTATTCAGGTATCCTAGGTGAAAGTCTCACATTTTCATAGGGAAAGAAATATCCAAGGTTTTTACCTGGCTGGCAATTTGAGCAAAAGCTTTGGCCATTCTCTGATATACTGTTCACCATTTGTTTAATTTTTTTTTTTTTTTTTTTGAGTGGAGTCTCACTCTGTTGCCCAGTCCTGAGTGAAATGGCCGCTCCCGG